GCTGGACAGGACGACCCTGCCACCTCCATGGACATTTGCGCTGAAAGCAACAGGCCTGTTTGCACTGGAAAATTGTAGCACGAGGGCATCTCTGCCTCTTGGCACCGACTGAGCTCGTCCTAAACCCAGAGGGTCTATATCCACTCTGCTGCTGTGATTCACTCAAACTTACCAGCAAGAACAGAGTGCGTATTAGGTGCCAGAGAGCTGCTGAGGCAGATCTGCTGCTTCCCAAACCCACGCTAGTCTCTTCCCATCACACCCTGTGGCCTTATCCAGACATCTCAGCACCTTGACCTTGGTATCCAACCCAACTAATGATGCAGCAGTTTGACGCTGGTTTGAAAGAAAGCTCAAGCTCTGCTGCATCCTCCTTCAGCTGTACTCTCTTACCCTCCCCACCTAAATAAAGACAGCTTTTGACTAAAGGGTGTGTTTCCAGGACCCATTTAGGGTAATTGGTGTTAATTGTAACTGCTTCCTACAAATGCCTTGGCATTTCTCACTTACTTTGACACCAGTATGAGGACCGGTGCCATTCTCCCCTAACTCTGTGCAGCTGGCTGTATGGGTGGAGGGAAGGTGTTTGCCCCCAGAATGTAAGAACACAAGCGAGTACATGTACATCGTAGCCTCCCGGCTGTCACTGGGAGAGCACAGATGCAGAGGAACAAGGTCAGAGCAGCAGCTGCAGCTGTATTTTGCTGGGGAGCAGAAGCAAAGGTCATTCTCTTTTGTGAACGATAAAAATTCAAGCAGCCCCTGTATAACAATAGACACATTTGATCACAGGCATCTGAACTACACTTCAAGGGCTTATTCATGACCAACCTATGGATAACCATCATGCTGATGGCTTCTCCCCATGCCTTCTCACTGGAGACTTCTCCGGAGTGGTCGGGATCCATTAGCAGTGACAATGTAGGTGGCTGGTAACGTCTTTAGCAGCAGGAAAAGATTCCTCATCCCCGTGGGATGGATGGCCATAGCAACTGCCAACTTGAATGACAGCAGCAGGGAAACCTCCGATCTAACTCCTACAGACACCTCTGGTTCACTCCGCTGCAAACTATCTAAGGGATGAAGGACACTTTCAGATCCAGTAACGATGAGTAGCACCACTCAAAAACCTTTATCTCCGAGGTCAAAATGACACCATGTTGTATAAAATGTTCACATTTCATCACTGGTCTCCCCCTTGCCCTTGCAACCACCTCAATTAACTTTCAAGAATAGGGCAATTTTATCACTGCTGTATGTCCGAGAAAGTGTTTTTTTTCAATGAAAAATGAACATCTAAGAGATGAATATTTTATTTAAGGATAAGTCTGAAGCAGAAACCTAGCCCTTTCTGACTACCTCTGATGAAAACTCTGCGTAAACATGCAAGTGTAATTTTTGGTGGCGATAGAGAGGGAGTAGGAAAGAAGGCACAAGGGAAAAGACCTGAACTGGAATCCAAAGCTGAAGCTGAATTTTATCCCTCTCATGCCAGAAATCTAACTCTGGGTCTGAAAATTCCAAAATTTGGAGGTATTTGGAACTCACGCTCAGTCCCAGACTTTGTAGTAGGTGTTACACACAGGAAGAAAACACTGTTTTTTCTTTAATATAGTAGTAGACGCCCTAACGACTGACTGCATTGCTGCTGGCCCAGATACTGAACACACATATAAGGGAAAAACCTACTAATATTTGCAGGAAATTTAGCAAATGCTACAAATCCTTTTGTGACACCTCAGCAGTCAGAACTAGCCTATTTTACCTTTTCTCCTGTCAGTGGAGAAACTCCTTGCTAGAACTCGCAGAACTTGGCAATTTATTTTTTTCAATGGAAACGTGCTCCAGCTCTGCTTCATGATGCTCTGCTGAGAGTTTCCCTACCCCGCTCTACCTTGAACTAAGAATCTCAAAGCAAAACTCATTTGAAACAATTTTTCCCCTTGCCATGGTACTACTCCCGAAGCAGCAAATTCTGCTGTTGTCACCTGCAGGTTACAGATCTTTTGAAAAATGTGGTTTAAACAGCAAGAGTCTCACCAGAACCAGTGAGTGTTAAATGAGTTAGGATTTTGCTGTGAATCCTCTACACAATTTTGGCTTCAGAGGAGAAAGGTCTTCCCCCTCCGGCTTCCCTGGTTGGGGTTTTTACTGCCTAAGTCACCGAGACAGAGAAGAAATGGGATGCTCAGTGTTCTCTGAGGCCCAGAGAAAGCCTTGAAGAATACATCAAAAGTAAAAAGTAAAAGCAAAACCAAACCCAAAATCAAAAGCACGACACCCAGGAAAATCTTGAAAGTCTTTTGGCCCTTTGTCAAATGGTCTGGTCTTTCCTATAAACTTGAGCACATCGGGCTTTAAATGCATTCACGTTCAGAAAAGGACCACAGACGACCTATTCCAGAATTAAAACTTAACGTATGAAGAGTGAGGATAGGAAGCGTGATGTATTGATCGTTAATTGTGGCTAATTGCGTCTTGAACCATGACTGTCACGCTCTCACGGACAAAGAAATATCAAGAGGGCAAGGGAGCAACAGGGGCAGCGAACTGACTGTCCAGGGGAAGCATAAGCTGGTCGGCTTCAGATGAGGCTTAGATCCAGCCTGGAGGGCAATGAGCTCCCTAACTACCTGAGGAAATCTATTTTTCTGTGTGTGTGTGAAAAAAACATTCAAAAACCTATTATGTCTTTCCCTGATCAAAGGAGCCCATGACTTCTAATCAAGTTCCTTAAAGAAATATGATTAAATGTTGAATTATTTTGCACAGGGCAAATACAGAGACCGAAGATGGGGTACCGAGTCCCAAGCTGGGTTAGACCCACTTCAAAAATCTTCTCTCCCACTTAGTACTGATTACTCAGTCCCCTGGAAGTGAAGCGAAGCAGGGAGGGAATTCACCTCAGTTACCAGGAGGTGCAGGGGGGCAAGGAAGAGCAAGTGAGTGAGTATTTCTCCATCAGCTCTGCCACTGCTCCCGCACATGAAATAACCACATGTTCTCCGTTTCTCATCTTTAAAAAGGCAAAACTGATAGTTAGCTACTGCGTAAAGCATTTACAGATTCCTATATGAGCTATATCACAGAAGTACAAATCACTTTTATCCTACATCGATGCTATTTTATGCTTTCTGGGGGTGAACTGTTATGTTTATTTCATAGTTTGAATAGACCTCAGTAACTGGAGTCCCTGGGGTAACATGAGAGCTTGCTTGGGTAATTGTAAATTCAGGTGAGCAGGGCAGGGTTTGGATGCACGAGACGCCTTGTTTATGTAAAAGGAGAATCTGGATAATAAGCATTCAGGAGTCATCTGAAGAACAAAAGAATAAAACATGCCCTCTAGATCACAGAAATCTGCCCCAAAAGAAAGAGGGAAGCGTTGCAGTCATGAAAACGAAAAAGAAATGTTGTTGAATTTATATTATGGGAAGAAATCTGCATCACAGGTACCGCAAAGCATCTGATGCTGCTGTGCGGAAAGCTCAGGTGTCTCTTCTGAGCTCCACAGCTCTTGATGATGGTACCCAGCAGCTCCAATGGCGCAGCAGAAAATCTATTTGCCACGTAACTCATCGATGAAGAAGGCTGGTATGTGCTTGATGTTGTGAAAACTGCTGGTCTGGCATATCACCCATCCAGTAAGATCAGGAGTAGGGAATGCATTCCCTCCCCACCCTTCCCTCCAACCTCCACGTCAAATTGTGCAGCACTACGAGTCAGAGCTCCACGGCTATTCAACCCTTACCGCAAAGACCTCTCCAGAAAACGGCCAGCCGTGCTGTGCCAGCCGCCAGCAGTGCTTGGTCAGCGTTTCATTGTTTGGGTGCCAGTTGCTGTCAGCACATGCTCAAGCTCTGTTCTGCCTGCCAAAAAACTGGGCTAATTTATTTAGCATTTCAACAGATCAGGGAAAAAAATCATTTAAAAAAGGAAAGATTGAATTTGGGAACTCTATTCCTCAGAGAGTTAGTAATGGATCTTTCTCCCTCCCTCTCCTCTAGGCCTCAGCATTCATAACTTCCCCATCTCAATGTTATTACGAAGAAACTAATTCAATAATGAGATCATTCCCCATATGAGAGCCCGAGTAAATGAGGTACTCAGTCATACCTCCTCTCCCTCATCTGAGGGAGTCTTGCTTCTCCCGTCATTCAATCTCCAAGAGCAATGGCCAAATGATGACACCAACTATTTCCAGTGTTTGGGGTGAATCATATTCGAGTGCCCCGCAAAACTCTATCGTTTCATCTGCATGCCTTAATTTCCAGGTTCCAGACCCTTCCTTTGGGTATATTTTGGGCTCAGCTGCCCGTGGCTGAACCAGCTGCTGCCACAGAGGATCAGCCAACACAACTGCCTGCAGTCAGCACCCTAGGTCCAACACGCACTGTTTACTGTTTCCTTTTACCCGTTTGCTTATTCCTCAAATAATCCCCCTTTTGTGAATAAAGCAGCAAGATGGGTGAGAAACTTGCAGGGGATTTATCATATCTAGTTTTGTTTTTATTTTGCTATTACTACTATTTTAAGAGCAACAGAACTTGAAGGGAGACAGCATTTGGCATCCCTGAGGTTCACACACACTGTTCCTGTGAGCTGCTGGAAGTTTAAGCCTTCAACAAACCAAAGTATTACTTATGTGGGCATGAATCCAGGCCCCAGGTTCATTCAGTTTAAGTTCCACCCAAGACCTATACCCAGCAGCTTTTCCCTGCCTGGGTTTTGGTCTTAGGAGAACCACACCAAGAGGAAGCCCCAAGCACAGACGTTTTGGTGGGACCTCCACTTTGCGCTCACGCTGAGCTCAAGTGATCCATGTTGCTCTGAATGTTGCTCAACAAGGGGAAAAGTAAATATTACGATTAATACTTCTGTGCATTTAATTTGATATCCATCCAGTTGCATGCACGAGTGGTGAAACTTTTGGAAGGAGCTACCTCTGTACATGTGGACATCAAAATAGTAACAAACACAACATGGGGCTCTCTGCTCACCTTGCAAAGTCCAGGTCAGCCTCACGTGACATGGTGATGTTCGTCAGGTTTTGCTGGAGAATGAAGATGTTCCTACACATTTTCTTGATGCCAGATTCACTGATGCGCTTGAAGTAGTGGGCGCCGTTGATAAGAATGCAGGAAATAAGGTGGCCCAAACCTGCAAGGGTGAGGGGGGAAAGAAACAATAAATCACAGCAGGAAGACATTTAGTCAAAATGATTCATCCTAAAACCCATGAATGCGCACTGTTAAGTGGTACATGTGACCTGGAAGAGGAGATACACTGGATTATACCTAGAAACAGCCCTCAATATCTTCCCTGTGCATTTTAGGAGGACATTTCTCAAGGTTTTCTTCTTTAGTAAAAATACAAAACTGCCCCAGAACACTATGAAGACTCCAAGTTGCATTATCATAGCCATTGATATTTCCAGGGCACTTCCAGATTTATAATCAGGCTTTCCATAATGTCCTTTTCAGCCCCTTTCTCTCCCTCTGGGCAGAGCAAAGGACCACTACTGCTCCTACAAAATAACAGTATTTTAATCTGTTATCAAGGGTGGCATTTTCCCCTGGTAAACTCACAGTCTGCAAGAGCAGAAATGAGCTGCATTTCAATGCACTTGATGTACAACCTCTCTCTGATCAGTCTTGAACAGTTTCTAGTGTCTGAATGATGTCTCCATCTTTCCTTTGCTGCTGAAGGACATAGCCAGCTGTTAAAAGTCACAGCCACCCCCAAAATGATGTATCCATTCATGTCACATTACAAATAGCAAAAAACCCCAATCTGATTCACGCAGTACACAGGTCTGTACAAGACCTGATGTCAATTAAAAGTCTGAATTAAGAACGTATGTTCATGTATAGGCAACCAGCATGGGGTATATGTAAATCCCACAACTGGGTTTAAGAGGTGCCTCCATTTCGTGAAGACCACGTGTATGAATTTCAACCCCACGGCTTAACGAGATGTGAGTGGTCCCCACGGCTCTGTGTGGAGTCATTTCACCCTCCTCAAACCCTGAGCTGTAAGAGGAGCTCTACAACGTGCTGGTGATCGCTCAGTTTGCCACAGATTCACACAGCTCAGAAAACATCAGATTAAAAAATGCTCCATCAGCAGCTACTTGGGTATGGGGGGGGAAGTACACAGGTACTGAAAGCCTTCTCTAGGACCAGTAAGCAGTGGCCAAAATAAAGCTAGCCAGGCTTGCAAAGCCTTCATCCCTGCTGACATATGATATTGGGCAGTGGGTACATCTCCAGTCCCCACCTTCCTCTGACTTTGAACAACCACCACATAAAAGGACACGGATCCTGGCGCGCAGGCAAGAGAACTGTGCGTCAGCACCACAAATAAATACAGGGGAGATGAACCAAGACATGATTTATATTCTCCAAGGTAATCACGACAGATGAGACATCAGAAGAGCTAATGTTCTCTAAATTTAATTTTAGAAATGGAATGGCTACACTTCGGATAGGAACCGCGCCATAATAGAGCTGTGCTTGTAATACATACACATGCCCTACGGCTTCCCAAGGAAGAACTATCCTGCACATACATCAACTTACTGCTTTCCTTCTCAGCATGGGCCCGTTTCTCCTATTCAGCCAGATACACTCAGAAATGGTACAGGGGCAACAGGGTTTTTGAGTGCCCTGTGTTTGCATGAGTCTCACTTATCAATCTGCTGTAGGTGGCAACAGTACCACAGTCTGCCTTACCCCCAAAAGGAATACTGTGGAGCTTTGGGATGAGAATGAAAAATCATTTTGTAAGAACCAAACTCCTATGGTAAATGCCTGACCTTCGAAGATGTACTGGAACTTGTGCTGCTGGAGGCTGGCGCTCATGGCTTCCTCAATGGCACTGATGTCCTTATTGAGCCGGACGACGAGGGGGTCGTAGTCCATACTTTCCACATTGGCCACGATGGCGTAGTTCCCTTGTTTAGCCAGCGGGATCAGGTAGTGGAAGCAATGAACTCTGTGAGACAGAAGAGAGAGATATTACAATGCAACAACTTCGATGTGAAAACATCAGTTGGTATGCAAAGTGTTGCCTTCTTATTTTCCTTCCAGTGTTCGAGCTAGTAAAAATTAACAACAATTTTAAGAAATAGGTGATTATGTCTGCATTAAATGCATCCTGCTCTTGTCATTGTCCCGTCTTGAGAGGTTAATACAAAGGACCCTTCATTAACAGATCTGACCTACATGATCCCAGTAGAATGCCAAGTGTCTCTTCACAAGGTTCTCCATTTTTTTAGCAGCACTTCGATACCAATGCTCAAAGAAGAACTCCTTCTACATACCATAAAGACCTAATAACAGTTATAACTGGCAGAAGGAGCGAGCCAGGGCACATGAAACGATAATTAGCAGGCCAAGGCTGTGCCTATTCCCAAGCATTTAATGCTATTGCAACTTTCTTCTTTTCTGTTCACCTGCCTGGTAGGGCTGTAGGCAACGCGCCCAACCATCATCACTCTATCAAAGGAGAAATTCCGTGCACTCAAATTACCTATTAGTGTTCTGCAAAAACCTATAATTAAGTAATTTCTCTTGAACCTGTAGAGGAAAGTGCTATGTCCAGCAAAGTCATGGCAACACTCCTTCTACTTTTGTAATTCTTGGGTTTCACCCACATCACTCAATGGGGACAGGAGGTTGGTTGGGTTTTTCTGAATTTCATCTGTCAGGGAAACATGACCAAATCACAGCTTGGGTGAAATATCCCTTGCATTCGAAGCATAACTCAGCACCAGCACACTGAGACAGAAAGTTCACACCAGACTGGCCCAAACATTTGGGTTGAGTTGTGTTGGGGTGGGAGAAGCTGTGACGGATATGTCCTGGCTTTCATGTCCTCTGTCCTCCTGGAAAACACCCTTGAGGTGGCCATCACAAACAAGTTCAATTTAGGGCAATTCCAAGAGTGAAAACATATACACTCTTGTTTATCTATACATGCTTATACTCTTTAGTGTCCGTATAGGTTTTTTTACAGGAAAATACTGTAACAGACATTAAGTAATCTAAAACTCCACGGTTATTTGTAACAAAAGACATGGTTAATGATCTGAATGTGCCAACAGATTTCCTTTAAGGAAGCAGATATAAATCCAAGGAGCAGGATTTCAGTGACCACTGTCCTCAGGTCATGCCCACATGGTACTGGAGGAGGAGAAGCCGACGCTGGGCTGGTGCCAACCTGCATCTGGCAAAGCTGTGAACGGACGAGGGGCCCTAAGGGAGGAGAAAGGCAAGGGGATAATTGCATCGTCTCAAATCCGCTTTGCTGTTTGCTGGTGTTTTCTTAGACTGCACCTGCAACAGCAAGAGGCCGGATAAATTCCCAGGCTCTTTACAAATGTGCTCTGAGTGCCTGCTTAAAGCACAGGATTTCTGTGAATGAATACACATTGTACTATGCACCTTGGAAATGGCAGGGATCCGGGGAGCTGGCGTAGGAGTCGCAGAGAAACCTGCTAGTAACAGCCGTCAGAGGGGCTGGGATTTTTCTCTGTTACTGCAGGTGGCTGCAAAAGCAGAGTGATGAATATGGGGAAGCTCCCACCCCGCTGGGGATTTTCCTGGTTCTTAGCGTCTCTCTTTCTCAACCCTTTCAACCCATTGCACAGAGTAACAGGCTTTGGTGTATTCACAGCATCAAACTGGGGCTCCCATTGGAAGCGCTAAGGGAGGCGGGCAATGGTCTGCTCTAAAATGACAGCAAAATTTTTTCCTGATTTATATTTGCACTTATTTTTGCTTAACCCAAGTCTGATGGAAAGTCACAGAAGACTGAGGCCAGAAACCCATTCAGGCTGGTGCCCACACCACAAGTCCAGGTTAACTCAGGCATCACCTGGTATTATATCACAGCTGGAAAGCTGCTCCATTTCCATACTTTAACAATCTTTTCCTCGAATCCTTCAAACCCCAGCTCATCTGTGATGCCTGCAATCAAGTGGCCAGCAGATGATGGATAGCAGGTTGAAGGACTGCTGACAATAACTAATGCGTATTTTTTTTTAAAGGTACATACTGACTTCACCAGAGCTCTGCCTAGGTACACAAGGCCACAATAAGGCTCAGGATATGTCATGGCAGAACAAACTGATGATCCATCAAGTCTCATTGCCTGTCTCTGACATCCACTTCTATTTGATGCCTCAGAGAAAAGGGAAGCAATGAAAATACACCTGGCTGATACAATGCATAAGGGAAAAATGTCTTCCCAGCCCCACAGTGGACAGCTGGCAGCCTGAAGAAAGAGATTTGCTGCCTTTGATCTTTGTATGTGAAGTCAGAGACATCATAAAATTACCCATGCCTTTAAAAAAAAATCCAGCTAGTTTCCCAGTTTCTGTTACCATTTGAAAAAGTAGTACGAAAAGCTCCTATTTGCAATCCAAAGCGCAGTGGCTAATAAATATGCAGACACCTGTTAGACTATTAAAACATCATTGTGCAATTTTCTAAGGACAAAGCCCCCAAACCCCACATTTTTCCTAGTCTCTGACACAGAAGACACAGACCTTCCTAGGAAATGCCACTTTCAGTATCCTGCCTCCATCCCATATTTGGCCATCCGTGGTGATGGGATCTGGCATTTCTGGACTGACCTTTGATGCTATAGCAGGCAAGTATATCTGTCTCAGGTGCCGTAATATGTACTCTGGACACAATCTTAACCTATAGCCTCCTGAGCTTACCTGCAATACCCGGATTCAGGGCTTTTACCTGACTTCCAAATGCAGAACCAGCAGGCAGCGATCAGCCATCTCTTGAAAAGACTTGGCCAGCTCACTCAGCGTTTGCAGGATCTGTTCGGATGCAGGAAGGTGTTCCATACTGGCATGGCTGTCCTGGCCAGGAGACGCAGCTAGCAAGAGAAGATAGCATAAATTTGTGACATACTGCATCAATACCACTTAGCTTTAGCAACCAAAGCATCTTGTCTGCTTCCATCCTAAATATGTGTGTTCTCTCCCACCTTTGGCTGAGCAATAATGTCTATAATTTGGGAGCGTATGAAGCAACAAACTGCTTCTGCAATTGATTAAACTCCAAAGTGAATCTGAGGGGTTTAATCAACCACCAGAATACATTTGCTTGGGAAGATATTGCTCTGTGATGAGTATTTCTGTTGCTGCAGAATCCTGGAACATTTATCTTGTTCTGCTCAGAGTGAGAAAAGAGCTGCTCAGGAGCCAAAGCCTGGCATCGACAGGAAAGACGGTCCTTTTTGGTCACCGTAGACTTCCCTACGTAATCTCAAGTGAGTCTTTGCCTGTCCCCATGCCTTCAGAGGCATCTGGGAGGCTTTCTTCCTTCTCTTTAATAAAACACAGCTCTTAGGCAGTAAAGCAATTTAAAAGTAGGCAACAGGTATGAGCTGGTCATGGACCAACTGTTTTCCTCCCGCTGAGACCACTTTAAAAAAACACCTTGAGTTTATCCCAACCTCAAAAGCATCGTCCCTCTTGGAGAGGTGTCAATGCAGCTATAATAATTCTGCTGTCTTCATCCCTTATATTTTATCACAGTGCCTGAACCCTGAACCTTCTCCCCTGCAACACAAATCACTGCCACTCGAGCTAAAGAAGTAGATTCACTAACAAGAGTAACACGCTGTTACCATATAGTCCACCCTAATTAGAGGAAGTGTAACCCAAATATCTAAGTTCAAGTCCTCGTTCAAGCAGCACTTTAGAAATTACTTCCTGCATAGGGTGATTAAAAATCTCTGAAATCAGGCAGCCCTGCTTAGACAACTTCAACTTGGATTAAATAATGGGATTGTAAGGGATCTCCTGGATCACCATGCCCAGTCCCCACAAGCCCTATGTCCCATGGCCTTGAGTATGAACTTGTGTGCCATATTAAAGTTGTTCAGATTTCCACCCTTGCTGGCTCCTTCAAAACAACACTTCTCTAACGGTGAAGTTAAAGTTTGGGATCTAATTTCCAGCCTAAACTTATTCACTTATTATTTGGTTCTTTGTATGTCAACATTACTCTTTGCCTCGTGGAGTTCTCCATCCCTGGTATCCCTCTTCATGGAATCATAGAACTGTTTAGGTTGGAAAAGACGTTTAAGATCATCGCGTCCAACCGTAAACCCACCACTGCCAAGCCCACCACTAAACCCTGTCCCTAAGCACCACATCTACAGGTCTTGTAAATCCCTCCAGGGATGGGGACTCCACCAGTGCCCTGGGTAGCCTGTTCCAGGGCTTGACAAAAGCAACTCCCTGCACCCCTTCTGGTTTCAACTACTTGTCTGGAACGCAGGTAACCAGAGGTGTACGCCTGCTGTACCTGAGCTGTAACTGGTGCCACAACAGGACTGGAGCTTTCCCATCTCCCCTGGGAATACTCCTTTGCTCTGCTATATCTGCTTTTTTTCATGGTTGCTTCGCATTTTCAGCTTCACAGTTGTTCTGTGATCAACCTGAATAATGGAGGTATGATATCTGCTGGCTTTAAGAAACACCTCCTTCTCTCTTTTCTTGCACTTACGTTCATTGAATGATAAACACTTAGCCAGACACCAACGCAACTCTGCACAGAAAGGATCTGTACATCACCATGGAACTGTTGACAATAAACTTTCATTTTGATGGAGACTGATTAAGTAAATGTCACTTCCTCCTGTTGGTACAGCCAAAGACCTGCTTCGAAAGAGAAACATACGCTGAGCTTTGGATTTGCTCCTAAAATTAAATACACCTTCACATCTAGTCAGAAAAGACCAAAAAAAAAAAAACCACCAAACAAATTGAGGAGATAAAAAGCCCCAATCTATTTCGTGCAAAACAAATTGAAAGAGACGTAAACACACAAGACAGAACTGTACAATTAAAGGAGCGCGACAAAGCAAAAGGAAAAGATTGCACCCAGCAAAGCGCCTAATTGTGCATCTAAATGTACTATGAATTACAACGGAGAAAAGCGTGCTCGGATGAAGCCATGTAAAACACGGCTCCTGGAAATAGCCTCCTTCAGCAACTCCTGCAATCACAGCTATATTGATGAAGTTTTTTTTTTTTAACCAAGGAACATGGTAGAGAAATTCATAGCCTGGCAAATACTGTTGAAAATAATTCACTGGCCTGGAGTGCAAAAGAGAAATGAAGAGGGAAATGAGAGTGACAATCCGCTCGGGGTGAATGGGAATAACAAAGATGCCCCTTCCCTAGCATCCCCCCACTTCTCCAAGCCTTTCTCTGCTCAGTGAGGTCTCTCCCACAAAGAAAATGAAATAATCAGTGAGGGGGCGACGGGCTTATTTACACAGCCTCTAGTTTCCAGATAAGGGCGTTAAGAGACGACTCTGGGAAGGCGCTTTGGAAGAGCTGTTTGTCCAGCTGCCACCCACCTTTCAGCCATGAGACTGCCAAGTGACATTTGTTTCCCTGGAGGGTGGCAGGACTTTTGGCTCAGGATCAGGTCTAGGGGTGCTTATTTGGTCACAGTAGAAAGCAGGAAACCTCACCTTTATTATGGGGGAAAACCCCTATTTATTCTTAGTCACAAATCCTACATTTTGAGAAGTTTCTATCAGCCTCACTCCTGGAGATGGACTTACTGCGAGAATCACCTCTCTTTAGCAGCGCCGGGGCTGCAGCCTCCGGTTTAATCTTGCCAGCTCCCTCCAGCAATGCTGCCCTGCAAGCGGTGGAGATGGATGGACCCATCATCCAAAATGCAAGAGTCAGCTAATTTCTGCAGTGGAGAGATACACGCACAATTTTTCTACTCTCCAGAATTCATTTACAGCAATTTAAGTGAAGCTGCAATTATATTTGTCAGTGGAGATAAGAGGAGGAGGGAGACGGGGACAATCTGCTCCTTATTTAAAGCCAGAGCACTGAAGTCCTTCTGAGTGTTCAGAGCCCCCAGGGCGGGGAGGAGGGTCAGGTGCTGCCTTGGGGGATGCATACCAATTTCTCCTATGCACGATGAGGACACTGAAGCGTACTTTTGCTTTTCGAGATCAAAGGAAGCCTTTCAGAGCCCGTCAATTTTCCTTTCTCCTTCTTTAGACATCCAGAAAGGACCATTTCACAGCCAGCGAGAAGATCCCATTTCTTTAAGTCTCACTCAAGACAGTTTTACTCCATCACGCTTGGCAATGCAAACCCACAGAAGGAGCTGTAGCAGCAAAAAATAACCAGAGCCTAAATTATTAAGGGGCCTTGAATAAAAAATGTGATTTGGAGCTGGCTTTGGAGTTGGCCAGTTCTTTGGGCAAAGGGTGACCCTGCATTGCATGGACATTCAACCCACCAGAGCCCACTCCAAGCTCTCTGCTTAAAGAGGGAGAAAGCTCCAACTGAAATGCTGGAAAAGCAAAGCAGCAGATCAGCAGCCATCCACCACTTCTTCCTCTTCTCTTCCTTCATAACTCATTTACACCAAGTTGAACATGAGCCCTCCTGGCCAACAAAATACTCAACAGTTGGGTAAGCAGTGGCCAACACCTTGCTCCATTGGCCCTTATCATCTTGCAGCCTTAACAGATGAATTTCATTTATCTTAAGTGAGCTTCCCATGCCACCGGATAACAGTTATGTTTTGTTTGGGATTTCTTCTAGCTTGCTGTAAGCACAGTCAAGGTATCTCACTCCAACGAGTAGGAATGTTTCATTCTAGGAAACCTGAGAAAAATAAACTTAACACACTCGTTGTCACCAATGATTTCAATCATTTTGCAATTCAGTGCGACGCTGGTGCCTCTTGACAGATTGTGCCTTGTAAATCGATGGATGTAAATTACCAGACCTCTGGAATATTAAACAAAACCTGCCGCGTTGCCCATAAACAAACCTCTGTAACCAATCAAGGTCTACAATAGCGCGTCCTGCCCGCTCCCTGCTTGAGCAGAGTGACTGCTAACAGATTTGAATGATTTAATAGTGCAAGGAGAAAAATCAATCTAAGGTTACAGGCTCTGCCTGTTCTGTGCAACCTGAACCCGAGAAATAAACCTCCAACATGCTCAGGCTTTACATAGCACTACGTGCATTTGCTTTACAAGGGAAAGGGGAAAGGCTCACAGAGAAATTTTACAGCTCTGTCAGGGGGGAAAAAAGCCTCTTATTTGGAAAAGAGATGCAGTATGAAATGCTTGTTGTGCCCCACAGGTAACATTAGGGACCAGTTCACAGCTTTTAAAATTTTAATTTCTTACTCTTTTCCTCTCCAGAAGAGGAAACTCCAAAATAATTGCAAATACACACACGGAGAAGGAAATTTGTTATGGGTTACGTGCTGGACTATGCCTTTAGAGACCCAGGGTTAAGTCTTCTCTCTGCTGGAGACTTTTCTGGGGATCTCATGCACCGCTTTCTCTTTCTGTGCTTTAGTTCCCCATGTGTAACACCTGGATAATGTATTTTTATCCATCACTGCCATTTAAGCTGACTCTTGAGTCCTCCATGTTCCTACTGCTTTCAGCATCACGAGGTGATGATGTCACTGGGAGACAAAATTGCTACTCTAACACCGACAAGAAAGAAGAATATCTGGTTATTTAAAGGAAAAAGCATTGGGTGAAGTTGGAAAGAATTAGATACGTGATTATGTGGTTTTTTTTAAAGGAGAAAGAGTATGGAAGTACAGTGTGCATATTAGATACAACATCAAGGACTTATTTCGGTGAGATTTCTGAGGGAAGACATATGCCAGAAGACCTCTGCCTTCTAAAGCCAAACAGCTGGAGGAAACTAATTTTTTTTAAACATGTCACCATTAAAAAACCACCTCTCTTTCCGTTAAGCCATGATCTGTCAGTCTGGGCCAGAGCCAAGTAAAGGAAAGCTGCCGCTGTGGCGATGCTGGTGAGCAGGGGCTTTGTGAGGCGACGGGAACGTCGCC